AAATTATGTTTCCCCAAAACCCCAAAACCCCGCACTAAATTAAATAAAAATTAATCAAATTTATGGTAATTAAAATTAGCCTAATTATTTATTCATTACTTTCTGATTAAAGCCAGGTACATAATAAGAGCTGGTATTGGCACAAAGGGAAAACATAATTTATAGTCAAATATGTCCTAATCCATATTATGGTAATCCTTAAAAGATCCTAGGAAATTAGAATGACTTTACTCTTATTGAGAATCCTTTTTAGGCATCTTGCTAAAATCATACTTTTTGTCGTAATGCTCTAGCAATTTTCTTTAAGGATTATCATATGGAACATTTATATGATTATTATTTTCATCTAGTCCCTCAATGATTTTTACTTTTATGTAACCTTAGCCAGGTTTTATCCTAAATCTATCATTCCTAATGAGACCTTCTTAAAACTGGTTGTATTCCTGATTTAAATTTCTCCTTTCAGGTATTACACTTTATCTTTATGGAAGATTTAATGAGATTGAGAGTCTGTTCGAGAATTCTCCATCACCTTGTCTGTTGAAACTCAAATTTTCAGCTGCAGCTTGTAGTTCTTCCTCATTGCCAAATTGTTTAAGAAAATATACGAAATCTTCCCCCTCATCTTCATCTGCCTTTATAGAGTGATCCTAATTTATCTTTAACTTTTTGAAACTCTACTTCAGTATAGTATCATTTTAATATTCTTTGTGGTTAGAGAAATTAGGATCATTTTAATGCATTATCTCTTTTATTTTTCTTTTTTTAGACTAAGTCAATTAGTGCTAGTATTCAGTATGCTCAGTTGGAAAATCTGAGAGCCGATAATTAGTCATTATATTTTTGTCATTTTATTTCTATATGCTAGAATATTCAGCCTTATTTTAAGGAAGATAATTATTAGAGGCCAGAGCTTTTGCTCCTCTTTAACCTCTTTAATCTTGATTTATTGTGGCTTTCATTTAAATTCAAATTAAATTTATTATTATCAAATTTAAATTAAACTTAAATGAGTGTCAATTTAGATTCAAAATTTTCATCTTCAAGAAAGCAATAGCAATAGTCTACTGTTTTGTCTAATTATCTGAACAAATCAATTCACTCTAGATAGGTTTCAGCTTCCATAGAAATGACTTGTGATAATGCAGATTAAAACATTTCTTAAAGACACATAATGAATCAATTTTTTTCAGGATGGCTTGATCATTTTAGGAATTAAAAATAAAAATGGTCTAATCTAGTGAAATATCGCTACCTTCTTAAAAGAGTAAAACTTAATAAGTTATTTTGGGCTTGGAAAATCCAAATCAGAGAACGTAAGGTAGATAGGCTTAAATCATCAATAATATCACATTAGATTTACAAACTAAACCTAAGAATATGCTTTAAAGAATGGAAAACAGAGTACTTAAGACTTAAAAAGGGTCTTAAATTACTTACAAGAATCTGTGATGTTCGGCTTAAGAAAATATTCGTAGAATATTTAAAGCATAGAAAATAAGATTAGTGGGATAAAGAACATTAAAGGTATTTGGCTTTTAGACTATACTCTGCTCAAAGTATTAAAAGAAATTTCCTATAATTAAGAAACAATATAATTCAAAGTAAAAATATGAGAGGTCACTAAGCTAATGCTAATGATTATCTTAAGTTCATGCTAAAGAGAAGATATTTCTATGCTATTCACTAATTCTCCAGAATGCATAACAAGAAACTAGAATCAATAAAAAGAGTTTAAAGCTATTTAGACCATAAGAAAAAGATTACAGTATTAAGACTATTCTAAAGAAATTTGACTTAAGGAAAGAAAAGTTAGAAAAATCTGAGATTGGCTATGTAATTTTAGCTATTTAGGCATCAATTTTACGTTTAAAAGCAAAGTTTTAGAGTTTTAAAGGACTTTAGATAACAGTAAAATAGTAGGAAACTGTAAAATCTAAGGAAAATAAGACTATTTTAAACAAAGAAATACTTCAATATGCTATTAAAAGCTTTAAAGGTGTATGAAGATGATACCCTTACATAGGTTAGATAGCATAACTAACAACTAATGAGGTTGAAATTTTTCCAAGCTTGGAGATCTCATATCTCAAAGAGGTCAAAGTAAATTGAAACTGAAAACTAGGTTATGCAAATTCATGAAAAATAAGTATGCAAAATTATCATTAATCAGATGAAAAAGGTAATTAATAAGAAAAAAGAGTTAGGAGAAAAAAGTGAAAGAATCAAGAGGACTCAAGAGTAGAGAATATTAGGTCAAGTGCTTAAAAAGTTTAATAGTATATCTTAAGTTCGAGAAATGCGTAAAAACTAACTGGCTTAATTACTTGTTAAAATGAGTAGAAAATTAAGATATTAGGCATTTACAAAAATAAAGCATTATGGCTAGTAAAGATAGGTTTCAATGGACATTTAAAATTATTGAAGTCAAATTTTGAAATAAAAAGTTATTAAAGCTCTAAGAGGTTATCTAAGATATCAAATAAACCTATAAGCCTAGTTAAAGGTAGCTAGAAGGTTCAGATACATGAGATTACTTTAGAAGCCTATCAGTTCATTTAAGAAATACATCAAAGAGAAAAGTTTGTCAAGGTAAAATAGCTCAAGAGCAGTGGAATTATACAAAGAAAAAGTTAAAAAATTGCTTTGGCAATAATTTAAAGAGATAGATGAGTTGAATAAATATAGAAGCATCAAGGCAATGAAGTTTATCAATAGAAAGAGAATAAGCATTATGAGAGTTCATTATGAAGCTATGAGAACTTATTATGAAACAAGAAGTGATAAAAGACAAAAATACGCAATAGCTCAGATTTCTTATCAAAATAAATTAGCTTAGGAAGTATTTGGAGCATTCTTTAATCAAATGAGGAAAGAGATAAATATTAAGCATCAGCATTAGTTTAAAGAGCAACGATTAGCAAAGTTTCATTAGAGAGTATTCAAGGAAAAGGTATTCAAGCAACTAAAATCCCATAGAAATGAATAGCTTACTTCAAAACAAAGATTAGAGCTAGTTAAAAAGAAGCTAAATCGTAGGAAGCTTTTTAAATGTTTGAAAGCTATTTAGCTCTCCACTAAAATCTAATCTGATGCAAGATAGTTGAGGACTATGAGTTATTTATTCTATAAGAAAAGGAGCCAGATTAAAATCATCTGTTTGTTAAAGCAGTATAGGCAGTTACGAAGAAAAAAACAAATGAAAAATTTTAAGATACTCAAGATTTGGGCATTAAAAGCTAAAAAGAAATCCTTTATAGGATTGATAGCATTTATGTAGTATCAAAAAGAAAAGAAGCGAATACTTGCTCATGCATTTGAAGAACATGAAAAAACTAAAAAGACAGCTGTTTTATATAAAATTTCCAGAGTAGCTAATTATTGGAAAAGTAAGAGAGAAGAATATTAAGATAATATCCGCTCATGGGAAGACATAAAATCTAATAACATATTCTAAAAATGGAAATATTAAACTTTAAGGAAGGTTGAAATTTAAAGCCTATAAAATCCAAGATACGATAGCAATGCACCTAGAGATAAATTATCCACTACTAATAATTATCAAAGTTAGCTAACATTTAAAAATTAGCAACAAAATAATGATAATTAAAATAGTTATTTTAGTAGTTCTTAGTTAAAGAAAATTCCTAATTAAGTCTAGTAATCAAAAAGGTCACTATAGATAGATACAAGTGAAAATTAAGAAGAAAGTAATTTAATAAGTTGGCTAAATGGCTTCAACCCATAGTAAAATTAGCAAATTATTACTGATTAACTTAGGACACAAAGTATCTAAGAGTAATATGCTTTGCCAACTCCAGAATAAAATTTGATTTTAGATACTCATCTAAACCTGAGAAAAGATAATTTGGACAGATAGCATTCCTTAAAGCTAAAAGAATTTGATTAATACCTGAATTAACTAACTTCATAAACAAACACAAAGAATACAACAATGATTTCTCATATAAACCGACAGACCTCAAATATAAACTAGAATTTGAATTTATAATAATCACAAAAAAATTATTAATCCAGTTTGAAAAATAAGGGATAAAATTCAATACTGCAGAAATCACAATTAGAATAATCTTAAAATCTAAATAATTTTGTAAGAACTAGAGAAATAAGAGTATCAGTTGAAAATACCCCCTAAAAATTACTTAATGAATTATAAACCCCAGCGAAAAATTAATCATAAGCTTATGTACAGCTGCAAACTTAGAATAATATCTTTAATTAATCAGCTGAAAATGATTATCGGAATTTTAATGATACATCTCAAAAGAATCCCAAGTACCAATAAAATCCCTAATAGCAAGCTAGCAGAATAAATGAAATTTAAAAAGAAATTTAACTATTTCTTAAGGACAAAGAGCTATTGAGGTAGCTTGAATCTACTGATTCATCGAGCAAAGTATGTTTGCTTTTAAGAGAGGAACTAAAAGGCAAAAGTTTGTAAATTTAACGCATTTGTGATGAAGTAAGAGATTTAAAGAGATAAATTCAGCTATAGTAATAATAGCATTTCTGATTATAGTTATTAATTAATTTTTATTAGCTAGAAATGATAAATTAACAAAAAGAGAAAAGAGTCTATACAATAGTATCTTTCGGGGTTTTGGGGTTTTGGGG